TTATTTCAGGGATATCAAAAGTGATTCAATTCTTCTCAAGGCTGATGGGACTGTCAAGGTAGAAACTGAAAAAAACTTGCTCTATTGTTCTCTTACATGTTTGATGTATCTTCACTAGGACGAATTTTTTCCTCGCAGGTCTCGGACTTCGGCTTCTGTGGGCAGCTTTCTGATGAGTTTCCACGCCGCAGGTCCTTGGTAGGGACTCCATATTGGACAGCTGCCGAAGTAAGTTTGAGTCATCATTGGGACTAAAGAACCACTTTCTAATTTTTCAAGGTTTTGTGAGAGGTACTGTGAGATTTACAAACATTCTATATCCATTCCATTCTCGAACTTCTAAAAGTGAGTCCTGAAAACTTTTGAGGACTTTAGGTGATTGCTCGGCAACCATACGATACTGGTGCAGATATCTGGTCATTTGGAATTATGCTTATAGAAATGGTCGAGGGTGAACCACCTCTCTTTAATGAGCAACCGTTCCAGGTAATCTTTCGGAATAATTTTTTATTCTTTCCTTTCTATAGTTTTTTCTTCATTCTTGCAGTCAATATCTGATCATCAGTTTACGAAAAAATAGTAACCCTCACTGTAGAGAGCATTTTCGTTGGCTTCATTCAGCATTTGCTTGAACAGCGGTAACTTCGTTTGGGTTGTTTGGGTGGTGTCGATAATGATTGCATACATCATTTCTTCTAATTATTGCTTTTGCTGCGAAAAGAATAGAATAAGGGTTGTTGGTTATAGGAAGGTTAATAGTTTTTAGATGTTGCCTTTGTTCTTTTTGTAAGGCCTTTTTCACTGTTTTCATTTGGAATTTCCTTAATTAGTCCTTTTTTGCCTAAGTCTTCCCATCACTTTCATGTAAATGTGAACTTTAGGCGATGAAAATGATCCGAGACGAGCCTGCGCCAAAGTTTAATCCAACAGCCAATGTGAGTGTTGCTTGCAATTGTTGTCTTTAGAGTGTGTTTTTAAACTCCTTTCGGTGGATTTATAATTTTATTTCGAACTACGTTATTAAGGTTTCTCCTGAGTTAGCTCACATGCTTAGTCGTTGTCTCGTGAAGGATCCTTCACAGAGGGCCACTGCAAGCGAACTGCTGCGACATCCGCTGTTGACCAAGGCGCAACATCCTAGTTGCATCGCTCATTTGATTAATAATAATAATGTAAATAGAAATTAATACTTCACAATCACGCAGCAGAGAATTCAGGGCGCACTTGTGTACCGGGTCATGATATTAGTTGTGATGTAACCTATTGTTCTTTCCAGCCGCAAAGCTGGGACACTACGACGGATTTATTTGTTTTTTTTTTTTAATCTATTCTAGCTATTCCATTCATTCTCTGATTTCTCACTGAGCCGTCAATTGCACAACTCTGTTGGATATCAGATCTAAATTGGAATGTATAACGCAGTTTTGATAACGTTTTGGTGCATTAGGGGGCTCAAGGGTTTCTGATCGTTATACATATAACTGTGAAGGGGTATAAAGTATGTTTGGAAATATAGGCATAGCAGCAACTTGTAATATGAATTTGGGGAAATTATCAATGTCGGGTCATAGTTCGTTAGAATTTCGTGTGAGTAAAAAGCAGCCTTCTGTCTTATGGACCATTTTTACGGAGTGGCTCAGGATGGCAGTATGAACATTTGGCCTACTCACCGCACTGACGCGGCAATACGGTTATTCTTCGCGTCTGTTCCGTTTCGTTTGATTTTAACATGTAGTTTTCTAGTTGTAATATGTTAATTGGTCGTGGAAATGTAAACACGCCTAAAAGTATCTTGATAGATAGGCCGATCGCTGGGTGACTAGCCTTACTTGCTGCTCATACTATGAGTAGTTGCGTACCATAGCTCAGAAAGGAGCTTTCTGCAAAAGAGGGGTTTGCAAAACGATTAAGTTGCCGAAAAACGCGGCGCCTGTTTGTACGCTTTGGTTTCGTAGCAAATTTTCAGGCTTATCATAAGATTGGAGCGTTATAGTAATTAAATCTACAGCCTTCGGCTCTTATTTCTCTAGTATGCCTCGTAAGTCTGCGCGGTTGTGGTTGCCGTTGTGGCTTGAGTCGATCCGAGGGACATGCCACCACCGCGCACCCTTTAAATTGTTTGTTCTCGATGGATAAGTAGCTTGAATTGAATTCGGCTTCACTCTTAGTCTGGGCTTATAATCGGAAGCTCGGAATTGAGGATAATATTAGGTTTGTGCTACGGTTCCTGCGAATATTCATGTGCATGTGCATATCGTTTTTTCAGCGAGTTTGCTACTTTATAACTAATCATGGACGGACAACATTGCTATGTGAAGTTACTTCAGTTGTACTGTAGTACGGGTATTTATTGTATATTGTTTATGTTGATGGATTCGTTTTAGTACACCGAGAATAAATAGTTGTCGTTTTGTTTGGGTTAGTTGTTGCTTGTCGCGATAATATAGGAGCACTTGTCATGTCATAAGCCAATGATTGGCTTTACATGCCTTGTGATTTAATGACAAAGGTTTCTATAAATTCAAATGCTATTCATCTTTATTTTCAGGGTGACTGGGTTTTAGTGGGACTTAAAGGTGGACTCCATCAGCTGGTGTCAGTCATAGTTGTAATTGGACCAAATTCTAGGTTAGTTGCTCATATTTAGCTAGTAATGTATAGATCGGAATTCTTGCATGAGAGCGTTTTTTTTTTTTGGAAACTCAGCGGTTGTATTGTTCAGGAAATGGCTATTTTCATGTTGCGTTTCATCGAAAAAAACCGTTGTGAGAGCGCCCTATGCCGGACGGGACACCCGATATTGCTAGTTTCTATTCACTTTCATATAATACTTGCGTGTGCATACATTTATACCTCTCTCGTTGACTGTCTTAGCGCAGCTAGTTAAAGTGAGAAGTAAATCGAACATGAGTCGAATTGAATCGGCATTATTTTATTACAGTCGGGAAACGTTAAGTTGGGTGTGGCGGGGCTATGGACGTTAATTGACAGATAGCAAAAAGTTGAGTAGTTGGGGTTCGACAGAAAACATAAACATAAAAAACAAACACATAAAAAACAAAACAAACAACGAAAAACTCACAAGAATGTGCTGCGTTTTATGATTTCCCGCGAATTTCGAAGTTTCTGTTGTATTATGCTGGTCTGTTACTGAGATTCTGACTGCGCTCAGGTCAATTCAGAAAAGACGCAGCTTGTTTGGAGACATATGTCATATCCGTTTTGAATGGCACGATTGGCTGTTTTGCATGAAGCGAATATTATTGCTAGACATCTCGTTTGTTTTTCATTTTGATTTTTTCAGTTCGACTTGTTCTTCATCACAGCATCTTTTAAATGTTCCCTTTGTTGTGCGGAACATTATTTGCTGCTGTTTTGAAGCAACCCGTCGCTTTTGTGCATGTCGTTTTCCAGGTCCTGCTGCAGTCGCCGTCCTTCTGCTTGTTGCGTAGAGATTTCTTTTTTATTTTTCAACTTACCTTTTTGTGTCGGGTTTGTTCTTCATCACAGCATCTTTTAAATGTTCCCTTTGTTGTGCGGAACATTATTTGCTGCTGTTTTGAAGCAACCCGTTGCTTTTGTGCATGTCGTTTTCCAGGTCGTTCTTGGTGCGGCCATCGCTGTGTCTAAAAAAGCGTGGTGCATGAGGAATCGACGCAGTTCCGCTTACTGTCCCTTTTCATTTTCGCTGCAGTTTTTCTCTCACTAACAAACACTATTTTTGGTGTGGGCCGCTTTTGGGTCTTGCTTTCTGTGGTGTCCCTTGATATTATTTTCTAATAACCACTGCATCTGAAAAGGCATGTGCACATGCGGATTTTTTCCGCTCACTGTCGCTTCTCATTTTCACTGCAAGTTCTCTGTTGTTAATAAGCACTTTGTGTTGTGAACCATATTTTCCTATGTCTTGTTTTCTGTGATGTCCTTTTCACCCTTTCGTAGCATATCAGGCTTTCCATTGGCTGATAAATATATTTCACCAACGTTATGGTTTTGCATAATGTGGTCTCTCGACAATAACAATGCATATTAGGAAACCATAAATAATGAGAAAGTTATTAAAAACCCGAACTCAACGTATTCTTTTTTTTTTTAGCATTGCTCACACTTTCAACTATGGTTTGAAACTGTTGATGTCATTGAAGGTTCTTGATGTTTCCTTCTATTATGGGTTTGACATCGATAGCCCGCTTTGTCGAAACTGATATATAATAAATGAATAATAAACATAGTAATACCTGCTAAATCAACATAAATGCTGTAAACCCGTACGAGTGCATCGCGATATCGTTGAACCCATGGTATTACCCGAATATAAACGTCAGCAAACAAAACAAAATAATTACAATTCTACACTAGGTTCACCTAGCGATTCATCTGACATAGAACTATCAGATGAATTCTCTGGTGGAGAGAGTATCTCGTCATTGCCAGTAATGTTATTATTGGCATCGACTGCCTCTTTCATCCGTGCAGAATCCTCCTCCTTAATTGCGTCCCAGCACCATCCCTCACAGAGGCTTCTCGATACACTTCCCAATATTTCAACAGCCCTATTCCTCACCTAAAATATTATAATCCTTTAGAGTCCATCATTTCTATCTTATACGTGTTTCAGAAAAACGTTACTGTTTCCAGCCTATCTGTAGGTTTTCCCAACTTGTTGAGTCGGTGCTTGAGGTAACTCCAGCAAAGCTCCACTGGATTAAAGAAGCAGTGAAATGGAGGCAGCTCAAGCAGGGCTCATCCATTCCTACTATATTTATCTCGGCTGGGGGCATACGAGGCCAGAGGCTGAGATCCACTCGACTGGCAACGAAGAGGTTCCAGCTGAGGTGGTTTACAGAAGGAGAGATGATTATTTTGGGGATGAACTGAACGAACCTTATTTCTAAAGAGAAGTTTTGTACTGGCAAGGGCCTTTCCGATGCCATGGTGAAGCGATGAAGTCCACTTTACCTGCTCTGGTGGGAGCTCTATGGGGAGTCGAGAACCTAATGAAACACGTACACGCCTGTAATAGTGGATGTACAAATTACCTTACCTCTATAATGTACCTCGTATATGTGAGGTGCATTGGGGTCGAGTTACCTAGAGTGAATTCCGACACCTGCGATTCCATCGATCAAGGGGTTGACGATCGCAACATGCTTCAAAATCGTTGTGACGTCATCTTCGGGAGTATGCGCAGTTTCGGGTCACAGACCCGGAGCTAGGAGTACAGCCGGGTAGTGATTCACTTACACAACGCCACTATAACGAGCCGCACTTCCTTTATTTGCTTGCCAGCAGTCTTTTTCACGAAATACTGCTGATATTTGGTTTCTCAAGGAGGGGAAAGCGCGACAGTGTTGTTGTCCATCCAGGCTGTTTCTGTAACTACTTCGAAAACCCGTCTAGCCATGATACACAATGCAGTCCCCTCTCATCCTTGCTTCCTCAATGTTCCTCAAGTACAACGATCGCCTCCGCGCAAGGTCCGAGCGCTCGAAAATGTAGCGTTGGCCTTTGAGGATCTTGTAAGAAGAATCCCAGACCTTTCATAAGCCTCCACAATGTCATTGTCGACAACGCAAATTCTGGGTAGGATGTTCGCATTTGCTGGTGCAAGTCCACTATCGTCACGTCCTTTTCTTCCTTAAACATTTCGTGGGCCAGTCGTCTTATTCGCTCGCCCCACACTTGTACGGTGTTATTTCATAGCAACGGTCATAACCGCCACTTTCCGCGAGCGATCTCTGCGAGGCGCTCGCGGAGTCGTGGGGCGGACCGGTGCGTTACTAACCCGAGTGACAGTGTTTTCACTCACGCCGCACGCCAATGCAGTTGTCGCAATAACTGAGTCGAAAACGGTTCCACGAGATAGTGGCCCCGAGATGTTCTTTCAGTTGAGCGAAAAACCGCTTTACATTGGCGATGACGCGTCGTCTTCCGGGCGAAGACGGGGTGGCACTCAAGTTTGCTTCTCAGTGTCCTCGTCATTTCAAAGACGAAATAGACTGTATGTGCTACAGAGGCACCCCCGCGCTTAGAGCTTGCTCAGCAAATGGCCGCAAGGTTACTAGAACTCCTAAAGCAATTCATTTAATCAAGGTTGGACAATGGCAGATACAGCTTCCAGAGCGGCTTACGTCACCCCAGCATGTGCAAGTGTTATCTGTCTCCCCTGTTTCACAAATGCGAGTCG